CCCCAAAACCCCAAAACCCCAAAACCCCAAGAGTAGAATAAATTTTATATCAAGTGAATAACAGCTAGATTTTAAAATATAATTTAAATGATTGTCTGTCAACATAGCAATTTACTTTAAATCAGGGCACCTCCCAATCCCTCTCTACTTCACTAGACTTGCGCTTCAAGCATCCACAGCGCTGACAACTAACCTCAATCGTCAGCGACACAGACCAAGTCAGGAACTCTCCTATAGAACTGCAAAGACTGCGGAGCTATCATCCTAGATGTAAGTAACATTTTAGACAGTAATAGATGGACTAATGACTATATAAATCATTGGAATTCCACTGAGAATGCGCCGATAAATGCATTCTTACATCTAGTGTGAAATATGGTTTTAATATCTTTTATTTAGAATGGAACGATGGCAGTTAAGGACGAGAGATTTAACTTCGTAGTGGATAACTCCCCCGCTGAAACTCTGCAAACAATACTCGCAACTGAAGAGAGGTAGAAACTGGTAGTAAATCCCTAGGCCACTGCTTATTTAAAGGTAAGTTTATTAATAAGATTAGGATAAGAGATTATTACTCTATTGATTGATTTTGTGCAAAATAATGAAAGAACTGTGATTAAATTTTTATTTAATAGGAACGAGTGAACATCGTGAATTAATTCTTCGAACTCGGCAAAAGATTCTTCCAAAGAGATGAGACCCTGCATCTCGCTGTTGAGCTCCTAGATCGATTCTTTTTATCTCAGAATTACGGTTCTCATTCACAGAGTATGGCTGAAAGAGATCCCAACTCAACTCCAAAGGACAAGCATAGTTCTTCCACAACAGTGAATTCTGCCGCACATGGCAAAGATCAGCAGTAGATCTATGGAGTGAGCAACTAGATCACTGATAATTTCGCAAAATTCGATTTCACCCCCAAATCTGCATAGAAGTCTCTATATGAACTTACCATATTCTTGATTGCTAGCAAGTATGATGAACTTGATGAGAATATTCCATAGATTAAAGATCTCGTACGCTATTATTCCAGATTTTTACCAGTAAGTGTGCCCACGCCTACTTTCACTCAAATAGTTGAGTGTGAAAGATAGATCATGAAGCATTTGAACTGGGAATTAGGTTATGTCACTCCTACTATGATTATCAAGCTTTTGCTAGCCAACGGTGTTATCTTTGATAACGAGCCCTTCGTTTTAGATCCTGATTCTTTGTAATCCCTAGCAAAATCCATATCAGAAAAAAGTGTGATCTATCTTGATTTACTTGTGCGAAATATGTAAAATTTTAGAGATAAAAAGCCTTCACTACTTGCCTCAGCTATTGTGTATCAAGCCAGGAAGGATGAAATCACTAATCTAAAGAATAGAGCTAGCGAAGTTAGCAATACCAACTCAGCACAGTTTAAGCAATTTTGGTGTACTGAACTCAAAGTGATGACAGGCTATTCTGAGTAGGACCTGCTTGATGTAGCCAGAAGACTAAAGGCAAGACATGCTGGTAAAGTTGGCGGAACTCCCAGTGAGAAGAAGAGAAAAAATAAGGAAAACCTAAGTGCTAAGCAGAGTCCAGGACATGCTCTTTAACACTCTAACTCTAAATTCCCTCATATGCCCAATTAAAGTCAAATAAATGGGTTAAGAGCTCAAATATCTCCTAAACTTCCCATCAGCGAAAAGAAACCTGATGAAAAGACTCAGTTAAAGAACTCCCCATTAAGAAACAAGATAAATCAACATCAAATTACATTGGATAGCCACATAGTTGCGAATAGTACATTGTCATTGAGAACAGCTTAGCTATCCTAATTCTAGCCTGCTTAGGATTACTTAAGCTAAAAAGCCTTGCTCTCTAATAAGAACTCCACTAATACATATCAAGCACCTTTTACTTAGCCATCATCTAATTAATAAGGTGTGCCATCCCTTAAGTAAAGTTCATAATCTTGTGATAATTATGGTCTTAAGCCTTAATCATCCAAAAATGTTAATAGAACTACATCAAATATGACATTAGGATAAGGTGGCCTTTAACACTAAAACACCCTTAACCTAGAGGCATTCACTCATCATGATATCACTATGGATGAGAATATCTTAAAATCTACATAATCATAATCCTTATATCCACTGAGAACCAAACAAACTCAAGCTCTCAAAAAGCCTCAGAGCACAACTCATGCTGACAATTTAACTTAACATATCTCAGTCTGTTTTGGCAGCAATACCATCAATAAATAGTTCTTTGAACCACTTAGACTTAAGACAAGCAGAGAGGGTAACAGACTTAGCGAGGATTAGTATAAAGTTCAAACATAGTTGCTAAGGAAGACTAATGTTCAATCTTCAATGTAAAACATGCCATCTCTGAGAGAGTCAGCTGAGTACAATAGTTCAAACAACTCATCTATGCAAGGAGGTTAAAACACAAACACCAACACTAATACTACTGGACTCCACACCACTAGAGTTCCACCATAGATGAGACCAGGGCTTAACCAGAGAGGCTACTAATTCTAGGCACTTAAAGACTTTACTAAGAACCAACAAAGTTCCTCTTAGAACGGAAGAAATGAAGCTATGACTAAACTTCCAGCCATTGAAAGTCACTCCAACTAGAAGCAACCATTTAACAGCAGATACCAAGATGGTGTAAACAGCTCATCCGTGCAGAACAACAATGCCCAAGAGATTATTACCATGAACAGAAGATCGAAGTCTTGGAAGAGAAACAATGACGAGGTGTTTGCCATGACCAATAACCTCAGACAGCAGATCAGGAACAAATTCTAGCAAAATGGAAGCTTGACCAGCAGAGTGCAAATTCAAAGCTTCAGTTAACTTAACAGCAACTTTACTGAATAAGCGTAGCTTTACCTGAGTAAAGAAAGTATCACAAATGGAGGTGGAACTGGAGCTACTGGGGAGGCTGATTACCAGAATATCTGCATTTAACCATAGAACTTCAGCTTGAAGAACAAAGGCAACAACTTTGGTCAGAGAAACAGCAGTTAAGGCTTCCAGGGAATGCATGGCAGTGATTCTAAGAGCAATACTTTTACATCAGATTCTAACACTAGAAGAAGCCATGGCAACCACCCACTAGATAACAATGGTGCTAGCAAGCCATCTTCTAAAGGTAGCTCCAAGATCAGACTTTACTCAAAGAAGGCTTTCGACCCAAGTGTAGAAACTGTGGATAGACAGGGTTGTGGCAGTGGAATGATCTAGCCTTATGTTAATAGCAACATAGTTAAGAAATCCAAAAATGGGGAAAACAGGCTAGTCCTCTTGCCAAGTTAGATTCTATAGAGCAACCAATCCCCAACTTACTCTTAAAACTAGGAAGGGCATTAGACATTCTTCAGAATTAAGGTTAATAGAGTAAGTCCTGTGCCTAAAGTGGGAGATGAGGGCTATGGATTTAATGCTAATTCTTAAATTTAAGTTAATGCCACTAAAAGACCCTCCAGCAAGTTGAGGCAAAGTGCTTCCAACAATGGCAATGGAGTAATTACAAATAATTCAGAAGAAGACCAACTGTGCTGTGTCATTGAAGAGGAAGACAATGAAATCACCTTAAAACCTAAGAAGCCTCCAGTTGAGAGAGAAGTTAAAGATCAGATCGCTCTTAATTCCAACATCAGAAAAATAATTCTTAAGAACCCCTCTAAAAGAGAACTATCTGCTGATGGCATTGTGAAGAAGTCTTTTGCCACTGCTCATAAATACTTAGCCAACAAGTTTGACTCTAACTCTCAAAATAGCTCAAGACTAGACACTCAAACCTCTTGCACCACTGGGGGTCCAGGTGTTTAGAACAGTAACTGTGGGGGCATCAAAATGTACACTAAGCCAAAGAAGTTTGTGCAATAATGATACATCAACTTGGCGGATGATGACGAAGTAGATGGATTTATAATGAGAAATATGCACTTAATTACCAACTATCCTAATATATCCAATGAGAATTCCTGTGTATCAGGTAGTTAAGACAGTATCCCAGAATTATAGTAAAAGCAAGGTGATTGCAACAGCCAGAGGATCCATCAAGAATAGTTGTCTCATTAGTAATGAATAAAATCAATCTATCGATTGCTAGTTATTATTAGTTCATTAAGTTATTACTTGTTCTCATTATCTGTAAGTGCTAAGGGGTTTTGGGGTTTTGGGGTTTTGGGGTTTTGGGGTTTTGGGTTTTGGGG